AAACAGAATCAACAGATTATAGTCAGAATAGTGAAGAATCAGTACAACTATGGTTCTGAATAACACATTTTAAGTATTAAAGCAATTCAAAAAGGGAAAAACAGTTAACAATATATATTGTTAACATTTGAAAAGCCCTCCACTCTAGGGGAAAGCAGGAATATATAATTGAATTAGGGAAATATTCACAAGGACTGTAACCCAAAGGGCTGTCTAAATTGTGCACAGATATGCCAGAGAATAACATACCACGTAGTTCTTAATGAATATGCATAAATAATGGTAGAGTTCCATGTAACAGAGTAAACTGGGAGAAGTCTTAAAAGAGCTTGTTGGTATGGTCTTAAAAGAGGATGTTGGTAGACTATAGAGCTGGGCAAAGCAGTCCGCTTGTACAGTAAGTATACAAAAGAATTCTTTGCAATATGAGGCATTGTGCTGTTCGAAATAAATGAAGAAACTGGACTATTAACCACATGGAAAAATACTTTGAAATGAAGCAGGAGTACAGTGAAAATAAATAAAAAAAACATTGAAAGGATTTTCATTTTAATACCAACAAGTTAAATTATCCAGTTTAAACAGCTGAAGTCTTGTTTACTGTGCTCTAAAGGATAGATTAAATTGGCAGCAAATCATTATATGAATGTGTTCATGAGGAACAACATCAGGTCAAGAATTAGATGCATTTGAAGATTTTTATGTAGTGCTTAAGCACAGTATAGTGAGATTTTTCTTAACCTGCTTGGCTGACAGCCAGCCTCTTTGCTGTGGGACAAGGAAACTAGGACCCCCAAAAGATCCATGTTGGAACTCAGCACAAATGGGAACCTTTCCTTAGAGGAAGAGAAATTCATTAACATAATTCATAATTGTTGTAGAATCATATTGTAATGTGAGTGAGTATCAGACAATTATAGGTCTGATTAAAAAAGAGATAATACACAGAGATAAAAATCTGTCAGTGGAGATAAGATTGTTGTGTTTCTCAGATTCCGTCTATACTTAGCACATCAGGATTACTACGCAGTTTACTAGGCAGTGGTTATATTGTAATAGAAAATGGAGCGAGAGAGTATTCCTGTCTAGCATCACAATGAAAGAAACATATTCCGAATTTGTATTGTTGGTGCAGATAAAGGATATACAGTACTGCAAAATGCAATTAATAATTGATGTCAAATCCCAATTTATGTAAGCTAGTATAATTGCATTCATCCTAACTGAAGCCCTTCTTTACCTTCAAGGGAGAAGGAAGAATGTCCAATCAAGGTCATTTTAAAGGTTAGGTAAGATCCCCTTTTCAGGCCATAAAGGTTCATGGGGGAATGGCCACCATTTTTCTCAACCATCCAACACTGGAGATAGAGGTGATAGGGTCAGCATCCTACTCTGGCCAGCCTATTACCCCCCAAAGGATTAACCCCCAGAACTCATTTGGAAAGCAGGGTTAGACCTGGGAGCCACCTGGAAGGAATTGGAGCAAGCTACATCACTTGCCCCTACCTGGGATTGAACCTGGGACTTTCCAGTCAGGAGCTAGACACCCTTGCTGTCTGAGCTACCAGGGCTCCAACTATCTCAAAGGTAAATGTAGAAAATTAAAAAAAAACACCTACGATTGAAATATGGCATCTTACCCCACACAAAACCTCTTTGGTCTGGAGAGATTATGGAGGAGGGAATTGATTCAATGCAGTTAAGGCTTTGGCAATTACTTTAACATCTGTATTGAGGAGTAAAATGGGGAGATATGAGCTACAGTCATGCTGATCTTAATGTTTCTCTAGAAATAGTGACATTGAAGTTTTATACACTGTAGGAAATAAGACTGAATGTGAAAAAGATTCAGTAAGCATAGAATTCAATTTGGGGGGAGAACTGGAATTTGAATCTTTAATAAATCCTATCAGATAGACCCCATCAGGGCCGGGTGATTTATCAATTTGCATGTTGCCTATTACAACAGGAGTTTCATCTTTGGTGCGTGGCTCTTAGAGAGAAAAATAAAGATGGAACATCATTTGGAACATCAAAATGGAACATCAAAATGTACATGTAAAAACAACATAAAGCATTGAAAAGAGTTCAGAAATTGCAACATTACCATGAGCTGTTCAAAGTCAGGGCTGATGTTTACTTGAATACTCATGGCAGAACTTTGGTTAAGTGTATTGCATACAACACAGAATAAAAGCAAAATTTGAAACATGTTTGCTAACACCAAAGAATGCTGATCTTTAATATATTAAAGAATTTAATAAAAAATTACATTAAGTCAATTTGTTTCATATCTTGAAAGAGAAGGTCAATACATACTGTATTTCACCAAAACAGTTTTTAAAGCCAATTAATATTCAGCTGTTGCAAATCCAAGAACATCAAATGAACTGCCAAACCTCACAAGAATAAAGGAAGGCACTGAATATACATTGGAGAGAAAAGCAGATAGAGCTATTTTTCATTAGCGAATAGTTTCAGATTGGTGCCTTGTCTCCTGAAAAGGTGTCACATTATCAATTATGGTTTCACAGCTCTACTTATTCAAAACTGTTTTGGTGTGGTGTGATGTAAAATAGCTACATGATATTTTTCAATACTGTATGTTGGCTATCAATTTATAGAAAATAATACATTGATTTTAAAAAGTAGCAATAAAGGCAGGTTTTTTCTATTTTCTTTGACTTCAAGAAGTTTACACTTGGATCAGTTTCTAGAAGTTTCTAGACGTTTACACTTGGATTAGTTATAGGAAGCCAATACATGTCAGGACATAGATATATAGAGCAAGAAAAAATGCTTTCATTTAGCATGATGTTGTGTGTACTAAGGAGATACAGCTGTTTCTTACACATGAAATTAATAAGCATGAAACAGACATGAAACTAACTTCTTTTAAATAAGAGGGTGATTTACATCAAGTAGCCTTTTTATTGAAAAGCTCAACTGTGTTTAATAAGGAGTAAAACCACACCGCATTAATTGCACTTTTGATGTATTAGGCAGATTTTGAAGATTAAAGCTCTCTTTTATCCTGAGAGAAAGCAGCCTGAAATCTGAAGCTTTAGGTGCAGTAAGTGCCAGAGTGTGATATATGTAAACTCGAACGAGTAATGGTGTATGGAATTTCATACATCCTTATTTTTGCCTGTTTTCACTCAGAATGACTTTTCATTGAATTATTTTCCTTGTATTTTTTCTTGAGTTACTTCTTGGTCATGGGAATTAAAATAAATCTGATTTGCCAATCTGACACAGTTTAAAATACAGCAAGGTTGGAACTGAAATTAGAACGCTGGAACATTTTGGAGAGGTACCAAGCGATTACTAGTGTCATGATATTATATAGTGAAGCAATGAAGCAGTCAAAGATTTTAATAGTAGAATTTTGTACAGCATCATGTACTGTATATTAACAACACAAAAAGTAGTCAGATTGCAAATTAGGGATTTCACAAGAACACCCTTTCAAAATCCTGTTATTTTACCAATTTAATGAGTGCTAAGCCCATGAACCTCTAGTTAGTGTGTAGTTGATTGAACACACAACTTTGTATAGGACTATTTTAAAAAAGTACTGCGGCAAAATATCAGGTGCATGTCTGAAGCAGGTTTAAGTGTTGAGAGTGACTGGTGTGGGACAAATCAGACGTTTTAGCTTTTCTTAAAATCTGAGAAGCTTCGATTCAATTGAAGGAGTAGTTTCCATGACAGAAGAAGTTCAACTTGTGAGGAAAAAAAATGTCAGTTGTGTTACAGTCTTACTTTACGCATAAACCTTAGTAATCATCAGTGTTAACTGTGTGTTAACTACAGTGATCCGTACCATTTTCAGAACTTTTTTAATCATGAGTTGATTTAATGGGCTACATATTTACAGAAAAAAAGAAATGGTGATCAGATGACCAGATTACTTTATATCTACACTATAGATTTCCAAACACTGGAAACTTATAGAACACAATTCTTCCAACTTTTGAAACTGATTGTAATTGAAGACTTGGAAGCTGAAAAACTTAATAATAGGCACAAATACTAGGACAGATAAAGTATTAAATTCATGGCAAAAATTGGAGTCCTGCATCAACCTGCATCATCTTGTCCTGACAAACACATCCAAAAACTCTTCAGCCCTGATTGAATTTTAAACTTTGTACATTTTATCAACAACCAGAGCTTTTTCAGTTATGCTCCTGTAAAGTTGCATCCATAATCTTTATCTCTAAGCAGGTTCTAAACTATGTACAGTATGCTGCTCCTGCCCATAAAGTATGAAGCCGATTAATAATAATTTTAACTTGTATAATTTGGATTGGGTGTTCAACAGGAAGTGTACGCTTTTCAATTGTATATGATATTTTCATATACATATATGAAATATAGGGTTTGTGCATCAACCAGGATGGCTCACTTTCATTTCAGTGTTTGGCTAATAAACCTAAATATATATGTTTATAAATAAATCTGTTTTTGTTTGTTGTTTATACTATTATCATTACTATTTTTATGTATTTTGCTGTTATTAGCAGTAGCTCTAGCTCTGTTTGGAGGTGTGGAATTAATTTTTTAATGGTCCAAAATTGAGTTCTTTATTGTACCTATTATATGTACCATTGCTCAGAGTAAAGTCTGCACTTGACATTTCAAACATTACTAATCTAAAGGTAGCAAACACTTTTTTTACATTCTTGTTAGAGAACAAATAGTCCTTTACTGCTTATATAGAAATTGTCTGTTTTTTTTGCAAGAACTTTCACAGAGATTCAAGAGACAAGGAAGGAGATTCAGAAGATGTTCTAGCATGTTCTAGCATTCATCACTGATTGGATATTCAGGATCCAATATCTACATGAGAAACAGAACTCACAATTTACCACAGTTTTCAGTTTTTAAAGTACTGATCATATTTATTGAACACAGACATTCAGTATATCATATAAGCAATTAAACATTGTTCTTTGTCATTTGATAAACTGTATTTTGATTCAACTTTTTTATAGGAATCGCATATCTTAGTGGAATGTGCAGTGAGAAAAGAAAGTGCATTTTGGCTGAAGACAATGGGCTCAGTCTTGCTTTCACAATTGCCCATGAGATGGGTCACAAGTAAGTGAATCTTTTTCCTGGAATGCTGGATCAGCATTACATATTTTTAATGGTAAATATATTGATATCATTTGTTAGTATTCTTGTTTCCAAATGTGCAACATATCTTAAGGGAATTGCTGATGGATTAAACACGTTATATGAGATACATTCTTTTGTAATCCTAAGAAGACTTTTCGCACATGGTTTTAACTCAGACATTTTTGGGATACACAGCACAACTAGGCTTAAGTTGTCTTCAAATATATGCTAAACTTTAAAACAAGCAAGGGGGAAATATTAATCTCCCCATCTCTCATAAGCAGCAACAGACATAGTGTCCTGGGAGCAGTTGAATATACATACGTATGTGTAGGTACACACACCAGCACAGAACAATCTTAATTATACATTTTATGTAAAATGGGCATGGAACCTATGATACCAATAATTACATTACACATGTTTTTGCCTCTACACTCATGACTCATTCCCATCTTTTTGTTTAATATTTAAATTCCCTTTGTCAGTGGAGTATCACAAATTAATAGATACTGTATACTGTACCTAAAAGGAATGTTAAATTCTTATTGGTTATATTTTTTCTCCACTGGTACTGTATACACTGAGATGTTATGTTGTTTGGTTAACTGTTGGTGAGAATTTTTTGAAGACAAATTGCATTTTCTTGTGAGGTTAGTGGTTTATTGAGCAGATGTTTGGGTGGAGGTGAAATTCTCATCTCGTACTTCTGCTTCCCAGTGCACAAAAGCTCAAAAATACTTATACATTGAAAGTGATACCTAGCCCATGAAAATATCAGTGTCTGAACACCTTTCTGGCAGCAATGTACTAATGCTGTAAATGCATGAATTTTGGTATCATTGAGCTACAGTGTCATGATCTTGGTTTAGACAAATATTTCAGTTTGAAGATGAAAAATATGGAAAAGGTTCAGTATAGCTGGACAAGTTTTCTTTTACATATTCAGACGAGATTTGCATACTGCAATAAATGTTGCATCTGAAGCCTCATAGAGACAAATATTATTATTTCCATTGTAGTATTAACTAGAATAGAAGTTTGTATTTTTCTATAATATTAAAGACTTTATTAATATACTGTAGGATCTCAGTCACAAACACAACAGATTGCCACCTCAAATATAAAATAGAATATCCATAATATATTGTTTTAATATAAATGGTAATTTGTTTGAAAAGTACTCAATCAATATACTCAAGCAAGCAAAGACGTTTCAGAGATTTTCTGTTTTACTTGTACTGATTTAATGTACAGAGGATACTATAATGATTTTGTGCCTTACCACCACCGAATTATAGTTGTAAGGCTATACGGTATATATGTATAT